TGATGATGATCATGATGTTAATGATGATCATGATGTTGATGCTGCTGATGCTGATGATGGTAATGATGGTAATGATGATGATGATGATGATGATGATGATGATGATGATGCTGATGATGATGATGGTGGTGGTGATGATGATGGTGATCATGGTGCTGATGATGGTGGTGGTGTTGCTGCTGATGCTGATGACGCTGATGATGCTGATGATGCTAAGGATGCTGCTGCTGATGATGATGACGATGACGATGATGCTGATGATGATGATGACGATACTGATCACGATGATGACGATGCTGACGGTGATGATGATGATAATGGTGATGATGATGCTGATGGTGGTGGTGGTGTTGATGCTAATGATGACGCTGACGATTCTAAGGATGCTGCTGCTGATGAAGACGATGATGGTGATGAGGATGATGCTGATGATGTTGATGATGCTACGGACGCTGCTGCTGATGATGATGGTGATGATGGTGATGATGATGATCAAACTGATGATGATGATGATGATGATGATGATGATGAACATGATGATGATGCTGATGATGATGAAGATGCTGCCGTTGCTGCTCCTGATGAACGTTGGGACGGTGATGATGATGGTGATGATGGTGATGGTGATGGTGATGATGATGATGATGATGATGATGATGATGATGATGATGATGATGATGATGATGCTGATGCTGCTGATGATGATGATGATGATGATGATGATGCTGACTCTGATGATGACGCTCTGATGCTTATGTCTATGGTGATGCTGATGAGGATACTGATGAGGATGGCGATGATGATGATGATGCTGATGATGGTGCTGATGCTGATGTCGGTGATGATGAGGATGATGATGACGAGGATGAGGATGATGATGGTGATGATGTCGGTGATGATGCTGATGATGATACTGGTGGTGATGCTGCTGCTTCTGCTTGTGCTGATGCTGATCTTAATGATGCTGCTGATGATGATGAGGATGACGACGAACCTAATCATGATGACGATGCTGATGATGATGCTGATGATGATGATGCTGATGCTGATGCTGTTGATGACGGTCATGATGATACTGATGATGATGACGATGATGATGATGATGATGATGATGCTGATGTTGATGATGTTGAGATTGGTGGTGTTGGTGGTGGGGATGATGATGGTGATGATGATGATGCTTACGATGGTGACGGTGACGGTGACGGTGATAATGATGATGCTGCTGCTGATGATGATGCGGATGATGATGATGATGATGATGATGATGATGATGATGATGGTGATGATGGTGATGCTGATGATGATAGTTCTGGTGATAGTGATGGAGTTGGTAATGCTGGTGGTGATGATAATGCTGATGATTTCGATAAAGATGACGATGACGATGCCGACTTTGATGATATGGTGATGATGATGACGATGGTAATGATGTTAGTGCCGACATTGATGATGACGATGACGACGATGAAGATGACGATGAACATGCTGATGCTGCTGCTGCTGCTGATGATGATGATGATGCTGATGATGATGATGATGATGATGACGCTGATCAGGGTGATGATGGTGGTGGCGGTGGTGGCGGCGGTGTTGTGGTGCTGGTGGTGGTGATGATGATGATGATGATGATGATGATGATGATGATGCTGACGCTGCTGCTGATGGTGATGGTGATGATTAGGATAATGATGCTGATGCTTCTGATGATGCTGCTGATGATGCTGCTGCTGCTGATGATGATGCTGATGATGTTGATGCTGATGCTGATGATGGTGATGATGATGATGATGGTGAGAATGGTGACTATGCTGATGAATACGATGTGATGATGATGATGATGGTGCTGATGCTGATGCTGATGCTGATGATGATAGCGATGACGCTGTCACCGACGACACTGCCGCCGACTCGACGACGACGATGACGAAGACGATGAAGACGATGAAGACGCTGACGACGATGAGGATGAGGTAGAGGATGACGACGAGTGCGAGGAGGACGACGATGATGCTTAGTCTTACGCTTTCACTGATGAACTGTTGATTTTGATGGCAACGCCGCTGGTCTTGTGTCTTGTTAGCGGCTGTGTGACCTGCTGCCGACGAAGATCCCACCGTCCGTGGCGTCGCCGAGGGCGTGGCCGTCACTCACCTCTCCCCTGCGCCAGGGGGCTGCCAGCCCACCATCGGGTCGCGCGAAAGGGGGGAAGGGGAGCGGGGGGCCGCGACGTCCGCCACGTGCAGCTGGTTTCGGCCACGTTGCCGGGCGCTGTCCTCGATACACAGGCGCCTCTGGCGCTGGGAGGCGTCTGAACAGCCAGCTGCGTGAGCTGATGCGCCAACCTTCGCTTTACTATTCCCCCCCCTCCCTCTTTCGCCCTCAACCCCGACGCTGGTGGGCAGAGGCCATGTTAGAGGGGAGAAGTTCAGGGGGGGAACGCCTCGACCCCCAGTCGCCACTTCATCGCGGATAGGGGGCCGATACTCCAGATTTCGTAATAAAGGGAGGGTGGTCTCATTTCGGAGGGGGTCTCTTCCAGGCTATCTTGGAGGGCCTGGGGGGGTCTGGGGACGATGTTTTGGAGGCTTCTCCCACGGGGGGGGGGGTCTGAAATGGCTTGTCTTGGAGGGTCCAGACCCCCTCCCTTATTACGAAATCTGGAGTAGGGGGCCGATAGCCCGCCTCGCCCAGGATCATGCTGGCTTTTGCTGTACGGCGGCCGGTCGCCGATCCATCGGCGGTGCGTCGCTGGCTCTCCAGGTCGACGCCCCCCCCTCCCCCCCCATGAGCGGGGCCCCCCCTTGACGCTGCTCCTCACTGGTGGGCAGAGGCGAGCATGGGTCGGGCGGCGCTGGGACGGGGAGGAATCGCCCCCGAGCGTTTCGGAGCGTTGTTGAGCGCTGGAGCGGCCAAGACTCAGGAGGAAAAAAACACACAGACACAAGTAATCGTAGACCCCCAGGAAAATATTGGAAAATATGGGAAGTGGTGGGGAAGACAAAAGCCCAGAAAATATTGGAAAATATGGGGAATCCTTTTATTTGTGTGTATTTATTTGTGTGTCCCTGGACCCCTTCAAAGACGCCCGACACATCCTCTGGCCTCCCGCCAGCTGCATGGTGGGCCTCTGCTTCGGGGCCTGCTCAGCTACAGGCGCAGGCCGCCGAATATCGGAGATCTCCTCGTCCTGGTTGTGCTGGTGAGTGACAGGCTGCCACTGGCCTGGACCCCCTCGGCCGGAGGCCGAGAAACGTAGTGGAAGGTGGGGAAGAATCCGGCCAAGAGTGGCCCAAGGTTGTGGAGGACGACCAATGGAGAGGAAGCATGTTGCCAAATAACTTCCAGACGTCAAACAATGTTTCAAACGTGTTTTAAACATGTAACAACATGCGTCAATCGTTTCTTCTATACATATTTCAAACACCTTAAGCACGTTTTTGATTCAGCCGTCGGGTTGTTGGAGTGTCCACTGTCATGGCCCCCACAAGCCTGAGGCCACTCCAGGCCGGAGTTACAGTTTTGTCCCGGCCCCGGCCGCGCCTGCAGCGGCGAGAGCGTGGGTCGGGGGCGGCAAAGAGGGGGGTGATGACTAGGGGGGGATATCATGGCGGGGGCCATGATATTTCCCCAGAATTCGTGGCGCCTCTTCTCATTTCATTACGTCCCTGGCCCCCCGCTGGGCCGCGCACGTGCCGCCGGTCATGATTTGCGCCCCCCCTCTTGGACACCCCCCTCTTGGCCGATCCCGAGTGGGGCTCTCGAGGCCTCCTCGGAAGCGCCCTTTGGGCCGGCCGCCGCTGCCGCCTCTCGCGCTCGCCGCCCGCCGTTTTTTCCGGGCCGTCCCTCCCCGCCGGAGCCGGCGGCTGGTCCGAGCCCGTGCGCCCCTCCTCCCCCCCATCGAGGGTTCTCCTCCGGAGGTCTCCTGGAGGGTCGAGGATGCAGGATCGAGCGGGAGGAGGAGGAGGAGGAGGAGGAGGAGGAGGAGGAGGAGGAGGAGGAGGAGGAGGAGGAGGAGGTGAGGAGGAGGGAAGGAGGAGGAGGAGGAGGAGGGAGGAGGAGGAGGAGGAGAGGAGAGGAGAGGAGGAGGAGGGGAGGAGGAGGAGGGAGGAAGGAGGAGGCAGGAGGAGGCAGGAGAGGAGGGAGGAGGGAGGAGGAGAAGGAGGAGGAGAAGGAGGAGGAGGAGGAGCAGGAGGAGGAGGGAGGCGGGAGGAGGAGACGGAGGAGGGAGGAGGGAGGAGGGAGGATGGAGGAGGAGTTCCTGCTTCTGAGGCACCTCCCCTCTCCTCTCTTCCTTCCTCTCCGTCGCCCTCGCGCCGTTCGGGCCTCTTTACTTCCATCCTGTCTCTCTCTCTCTCCCTCTCTCGCTCTCCCGCTTCCCACGCCTCCCTCTCGACCCTCCTCCCTCGTTCCTGCCCGTGGCCTTTCCTGGAATCGCCCTCTGCTTGCTCTCTCTCCGCCCCATGAGCTTCCCCTCTGCTCGATCGCCTCCTCCTCACCCGCCACCTGTTCGGGGCATGCTTTTCGTCGTTTTTTGGGGGGGGTTCTCTCTCTCTCTCTCTCTCTCTCTCTGTCTCGCTATCGCTCCTTCTCTGTCTCTCTCTCTCTCTCTCTCCCTCTCTCCCCCTGTTTCTCGCTCTCTCTCTCTCTCACCCTCCCTCTCCACTTCCTCCTTTCCTCTCACTCTCACTCTCCCCCTCTCCCTATCCCTCTCCCTATCCCTCTCTCCCTTCCCCTCCGTCTCTCCCTGTCTCTCTCCCTTTATCTGTATAGATACATCTCTCTCTCTCTCTCGTTGTCTTTATGTTTATCCTTATTGTTCTATCTCTCTCTCTCTCTTGCGCTTCCCCTTTCCCTTTCAATTCCTTTTGCTTCTTGCACAGTGGATCCATGTCCAACCACATTGCCCTACATTGCTGGCCGCCCTAGATATTGGGCAAAAGCTTCAAGATGTTCCCGATCATGTGCTGGGACTTCATGGTCCTGGGAAAGAACAACAGGAGCCTGAGGAGGAGGATGATGCTGGTTGGGGAGCAGGAGGATGAGGGGCAGCAGTAGCCGCAGTAGGAGTCAAATGATCATGATGATATGGAGGAGGAGGGGGAGGGATGATGATCATGATGATGATCATGATCGTGATAATGCTGATGATGGTGACGACGATGCTGATACTGATGATGATGCTGCTGATGATGATGATGAAACTGGTGATGATGATGCTTCTGATAATGATGATGATGATGACGACGATGGTGGTGATGAGGATGCTGATGGTGATGATGATGCTTCTGCTGATGATGATGATGAGGATGATGATGATACTGATGCTGCTGCTGATGATGATGAGTATGATGATGATCATGATTATGATGCTCATGATGATGATGATGGTGCTGCTGATCATGATGATGCTAATGCTGATGATGGTGATGCTGACGATGACGCTGGTGATGATGCTGCTGAAGATGATGATGCTGCTGCTATGATGATGATGATGACGATCATGATTATGCTGATGCTGATGGTGATGATGATGATGATGATGATGATTGTGAATCTGATGATGATGATGACGATGATGATGCTGTTAATGATGGTGCTGTTGATGATTATGATACTGATTATGACGATGATGATGATGGTGATGATGCTGATGATGATGCTGATGCTGATGATGGTGGTGACGATAGTGGTGGTGGTTGTGATGCTATTATGGTGCATGAGGCTGCTGAGGGTGAGGGAGGAGGGTGAGGGTGAGAGTGAGGGTGATGGTGATGACGACGATGACGACGATGATGTTGATGACGCTGATGATGACGATGATGATGACGATGATGACGATGCTGAATATGATGATAATGATGATGACGATGATGATGTTGACTATGATGATGCTGATGATGCTGATGATGCTGATGGTGATGATGATGATGAGGATGATGCTGATGGTGCTCATGGTGTTTGTGATTATGATGCTAGCGACTATGGCGATGACGATGGCGATTACGAACACGATGACGATGACGATGCGGACGAGGAGGTGGAGGAGGAGGAGGAAGAAGACGAGGATGATGATGGTGGTGGTGATGTTGAGTATGTTGATTCTGGGGAGGATGATGATGCTGCTGCTGATAATGATGGTAATGACGATGATGGTGATGCTGATGAGGATGATGATGATGCTGACAATGACGATGCTCATGCTGTTGCTGCTGCTGCTGATGATGATGCTTATGTTGATGATGCTGACGATGATGATGATGCTGATGATGATGATGATGATGATGACGATGATGCTGATGACGATGACGATGCTGCTGCTGATGATGATGATGATGAGGATGATGATGATGATGACGATGACGCCGGCGATGATAATGATGCTGATGATGATAATGGTGCTGATGATGATGACGATGATGCTGATGATGATGATGATCATTACGATGATGATGATGATGATGATGAGGATGATGATGATAATGATGATGATGATGATGATGATGCCGATGATGATGATGCTGATGCTGATGCTGATGCTGATGCTGATGCTGATGCTGATGATGATGATGCTGCTGATGATGATGATGATGATAATGATGACGATGATGATGATGATGATGATGATGATGATGATGATGATGATGTTGAAGATGATGATGATGATGATGATGATGATGATGATGATGATGATGATGATGGTGATGAGGATGAGGATGAGGATGAGGATGAGGATGAGGATGAGTATGATGATGATGATGATGATGATGATGATGATGATGATGATGATGATGATTATGATGATGATGATGATGATGATGGATGATGTGATGATGATGATGATGATGATGGTGGTGTGGTGGTGGTGGTGGTGATGATGATGATGATGAGGAGGAGAGGAGGGGGCGGTGGAGGAGGAGGAGTAGGATGAAATGGGGCATGAGGAAGACCAGCAGCAGAAGCAGGAGCAGCAGATGGTCGACGAAAGGAGGGATGTTGGTGGGGAGAAGGATTTCGGAGGAGGAGGAGGAGGAGGAGGATTAGGAGGAGGAGGAGGTTGAGGATCTTGTGGAAGAAGAGGGCTGAGGAGGAGAAGGAGGAGGAGGAGGAGGTTTTGGAGGATGTGGAGGCAGTGGAGGAGGAGGAGGTTTTGGAGGATGTGGAGGCAGTGGAGGAGGAGGAGGAGGAGGAGGAGGAGGAGGAGGAGGAGGCGGAGGAGGAGGAGGAGGCGGAGGAGGAGGAGGAGGAGGAGGAGGAGGAGGAGTAGGAGGAGGAGGAAGAGGAGGGGGAAGGGTCATTCCGCTCCCTCGCTCCAGGCGGCCGCCGAGGTGGCGTCGCGCGCTGCCCCCCGCGCGTGGCCAACGCCTTTGTGTGGTGGCTCGCTGCGGTTGACGAGGGGCGGGGCCGGCTGCCTCGCCCCGTGGCTGGGCGGTCTCCCTGGGCCTCCTGCTGGGGGTCCTCTTGGGGCCCTTTATGGGCCTCTTGCGCCATCTCGAGGCCACCTTGGGCCGTCTTGGGGCGATCCCTCGGGCCGTCTTGGAGCCATCCTGGGCGTCTCTGACGCCCATGAGAGCGCCCAGGGGTCTCCTGCTGGGGGTCCTCTTGAGGCCCTTTATGGGCCTCTTGCGCCATCTTGAGGGGCCGTCTTTCCCGAATGTTAGCGAACACATTCGGGAAACTACGCCAGGGCCGACGCTATTTAGAGTCGCCAGGGGCCTTCATGGGGCCCTTTATGGGCCTTTATGGGCCGTCTTGGGGCGATCCTCGGGCCGTCCTGGAGCCATCCTGGTCGTCTTTTGACGCCCAGGAGAGCGCCAGGGAAGCGCTGGGCCGCCCCTCGAGCCTCGGGAGGGGGGGGCCCTCAGATCTAGGCCTCCTAGATGGGGTCCTCCTCCTTCTCTCCTCCTCCTCCTCCTCCTCCTCCTCCTCCCTCAAGCAATTTGGGCGCAAGCAGGTGCTGGGGCCCAGCGGCCTTAGCACCTCACGCGCGCGATTCTCGGGGCTTCCCCGCAGCGCTTGAGGGACCCAGACCGAGGGCCACGCCACAGCCCAAGGTTTGTGACCAACACCGAGACCAGATTCCGCCATGACACAGTTGTGGACCAGATGCGACCAGTGCCGCCGATGTGAGTGGAACTCCATCATTGTCAAGCAGGGGTACGCTTGCTCAGGATGTGGTGCGTCGATCACGCTCTACAAGCCAGCAGGACGTCGAGTACATTGGGAGGATGACGTGCAGCCCGATGCGGCCCCGTCCCCCGCCGCCGCCCCACAGGGCGGCCGCCAGCGCAGCCACTCTCCGAGAGGCACGCGGCGTGGCGGGGGAGCCAAGGGCTCGCCAGCGAAGGGCACGGCAGGCACCTCCGTGACAGAGCTGCTCCAGCAGGCGGCCCAGGCCACGGAGGACGCGGCTCTGCAGGAGGCGCTCAAGAAGCAGATCGAGAAGATCAGCACCCAGGCCAAGGCCGAGTCCGAGGCAGCGGTGTCCCCAGCCGAGGCGCTTCGCAAGGCTGACGGGGCCTGGAAGAATGCGGAGCACCACCACAGCCAGTGCGTGGACAACGTGCTCCGCTTGAGGCAGAGCCTCGAGGCCGCCGAGGCCAAGGAGGGCAGGGCTGCTGTGGCCTTGGCGCAGGCGACTGCGGCCAAGAAGGCCGCCGCCCAGGCCGTCGCCAAGGCGGAGGGCGTGGGCCCGCCCACAGCGGAGCCGTCTGCGACGGCCATGTTCAAGGTCGAGTGGGACGAGGGCTTCTTCAACTCGTTGGACGAGATGGAGTGCACGCCCGAAGAGCGCCGCGCGTTGGACACGCTCCACGAGCAGCTCAAGGGCGTCAAGTCGGACCTGACAGGCAAGGAAGCCGAGATCAAGGCCTGGCTCGACAACGCCAGGAAGATTCAGAATGATATCACCGATCGCCTCAGGAGGAAGAAGAGGAAGGGTGATGACGGGCAAGCTGCAGCGGCAGAGGAGGAGGCCAAGCCAGAGGCTGGGGCGAGCGCGCCGACTGACACGGCGCCCACGGCCACGGCCCAGGACGGTGAGGCCTCCCAGGCTGCCGCCGAGAAGATCGAGTCGGAGGCCAAGAAGCTGTCGGAGGCCAAGTTCACGGCCAAGGCCGAGGCGGCGGCAGCCAAGGCCAAGGCCAAGGGGAAGGGCTCAGAGGCCTCCTCTTGACTATCGCGAGACCAACAAGTACACACCGAGGGCACGACGACATTGTTCTACGCTAATGTCACCGCCTTCACTTCCAAGGTGTGGCAACACCTCCAATTAAATTATTGCAAGTATGCGTACTGGGCCTGGGCAGAGACTCACATTCACACCGAGTCAGAGCTCAGGGAGTGGGACAAGAAGGCGAGGGAGGCGCACCTTCGGCTTCATCACAATGCGGCCCGCCCCTCATCCAAATCTGTGGCAGCGGAGCATGAGGAGCGGGCCAATGAAGGCGGCGAGTTTTTCATGGCGCAGCAGCACCTCCAGGCCCACGTCTTGCCTGAGGCCAAGGTTGCTGCTGGCCACTTGCGCGAGGCTGGCCAGGCTAGCCTCGACGGGTTTCTTCCCATGGTGCTGCACATGGCAGGGTACTCCATCGTCGTGGTGGTGCTCTACGCCCTGCCGTGCATCCAGATGAACGGCCACAACAAGGTCAGGTTCCAACGGCTCGGAGGCCTCTTGAAGGCCATCAGGCTCCCATGGGTGGTCGTGGGCGACTTCAATATGGAGCCTGACATCTTAGCAGCCAGCCGTTTTGCTCAGAATGTGCATGGAGTCATCCGTACAGCTGGCCCCGAGGGCACCTGCGCCAACCCACAGGGGCGCGACAAGGTGCTCGACTATGTTCTGTGTAGCCCCGAGGCCACGCCGTTTCTCAAAACAATCAGTGCTGTGCGTGCGGTCCCTTGGAAGCCACATCAGGGTCTTGCCTTAGAGTTTCGGAGCTCTGGACTCCAGCTTCTCACCCGCTCCCTCGAGGTCTCCCCCGGGCTTCCTCAGGCCCCG